CTACCACGCCCGGCTAATTTTTGATTTATTGTAGAGATGAGGTCTTGCAAGTTGCCCAGGCGGGTCTCGAACCCGCGGGCTCCAGCAATCCCCTCACCTCAGCCTCCCAAAGGCGCGGGATGACCGGCTGAGCCACCGAGCCCGGCTAGTTTCATCTACTTGGAAGACTGAGGTGGAAGGATCGCCTGAGCCCAGCAAGTTGAGGCTGTGGTAACTGTGAATATGCCACTGCACTCCAACCTGGGTGACAGCGTGAGACTACAACTCAAAAAAAAAAAGATGACAAAAGCCACAGACGTGCTCTCCAGAAAAATGCTTATATGTACACATGCCCGAACCTTGGTCAATGTTAGATCGCAGATCCCTAAAGTTTTTGTCTGTGCATGAGTCTTGTCTAATGAGTCCCTATGTCGCAAAGCTTGCATCTAGAAGGAGAAACCATTCATATTTTTATGAATGGAGTCTCTATGTATTTGTAATAATATCTTTTAAGAGGTTTGTGTATATGTGTCAGAGTCTCACTCTGTTGCCCAAACTGGAGTGCAGTGGCACAATCACGGCTCACCACAGCCTCCAACTCCTGGGCTCATGTGATCTTCCTGCCTCAGCCTCCTGAGCAACTTGGACTACGGGTGCACACCACCACACCTGGCTAAGTTTTTAAAACTTTTTGTAGAGACAAGGTCTCACTATGTTGCCCAGGCTGGTTTTCAACTTCTAGACTCAGGAGATCTTCCTGCCTTGACCTCCCAAAGTGCTGAGATTACAGGTATAAGCCACCATGTCTGGTCTTATTTTAAGAGTTTCTTTCTTTTCTTTTTGGAAAGCAGAATTTATTGAGAGGACAGAAAAACTCCCACAGTGGGAAGAGACCTGAAGGGGTTTCCAAGAGTTTATTTTATTTTACTTTATTTTATTTAAAAACAGAAATCTAGCCGGGCTCGGTGGCTCAGCCTGTAATCCCGCACCTTTGGGAGACTGAGGTGAGTGGATTGCCTGAGCCCGCGGGTTCGAGACCCGCCTGGGCAGAGAGACCTCATCTCTACAATAAATCAAAAAATCAGCCGGGCGTGGTGGCGCATGCCTGTAATTCCAGCTACTCGGAAGGCTGAGGCGGAAGGATCGCCGGAGCCCAGCAGGTCGAGGCTGCGGTGGCCGGGAGCGGCCACTGCACTCCAGTCTGGGCGACAGAGTGAGACTCCAACTCAAAAAAAATTAAAATAAAATAAAATAAAAACAGAAATCAACTCAAACTGGTTTAAATGAAAGAGATAAGGTTTGTTCATATAAGTGGAAAGTCCATCAGTGGCATGGATTCAGGGCTCCAATTCCATTTCTCTGCATTTCTTGGGCTCTGCAGGTACCCTGTGGGAGGAGCATGGCTGCAATAATCCAAGGCCTCACATGCCCCCAGCACATCATCCACCGAGAGAGGTGTTATATGCCTCTAACAGTTGATCACGGGCTTTCACTTCACTGATCGGGCCAACCTGAACCAATCACTGTGGCCACAAGAATTCCATACGATGATTGGCTTCACCCTGGGTTACTGCCCCTCCCTGAGCCAATCACTGGGTAGAGGCAAGCGTCCGCGCTTAGTTTTCACCTGGAGGTGGGGCAGGACCCATCCAACCCAACAATGTGCTGCAGAGCGGGTGCAGGCGGGGGAGAGGGATGTGGATGCCAGGGAGACCACACAGGCCCACTGAGGTTCACAAGGCGTTTGCCTCCCTGGTACTTTGGAAGTCGGCCATCTTACGACTATCCCCTCTGTGATCGTTTCCTGGCATCGGGCAGATCTGAGGTCAAATTGCGGCCCCTCACTTTTGACAGTATTACGGTGGGCAACTCACTAAGGCTGTCATTGGTTCCCTCGTCTCTAAATGGGGGTAACAGCAGCATCGCTGCCACGGGTCACGGGAGGAAGCTTAAATAAGTAATCCGGGTAGAACGCTTAGAACAGTGCCAGGCACGCGTACATATGTGCTTTTATTATCACCAAAATCATCGTCAGTGTCATCCTCACCCATCACCGAGATGCGTGTAGGAAGCACTGAGCAGAGGGTTCAGCTTCAGCTAGTGCTCAGTAAGTGACCGCTGCTGCTGTTCTTCCTGTGACCATCCTCTGCCTTGTCACTGTGCGGCTGCGGTTCCTGTGCCCTGGCAAAGGGACAAGAAAGATGGCGGAGGTGCCCGCCGCGTGCCAGAAGTCTTTCTGGAGTGTGGGGTCCCTGGCGAGATGCTGTGGGTGGGGGGGAGGTGGCCGGTGTGTGTCCCCTCACCTGAGTCCCTTCCTCTGTCCCTCCCACGCAGCGCTGCCTGGACTGGAACCGTGACATCCTCAAGAGGGAGCTAGGGCTGGCAGAGCCGGACATCATCGACCTGCCTGCTCTGTTCAAGATGGATGAGGACCGCCAGGCCAGAGCCTTCTTCCCAAACATGGTGAGGTCCTCTGCACCCCGACACTCACCCCGGGCCAGGTGGGGGGCCAGACTCAGAAGGATCCCTCGCTGAGGCCATCCAATCAGCAGGCCCATCTTCCAGCCCTGGCTGAGCCTCTGTGTAGCCTCACTCCAGGGACTTGCCCTCTCTGGGCCTCCATTTCCTCCTAGAGGTGATGTGTTTGTCCAGGCTGCCTCACTGGGGACCTGGGAACCTTCTACCTTAACTGATAGGAAAGTGCTTGGCGAGAGGTAAAAAGTCCTTTCTGTATGGGAGGAAGCCTTATTTCCTAGAGGGAAGTCTTCCGTGAGATAGAAAGCAGTTAGAACAACACACACACACACACAATTAGCACTCACATAAACATACATACACACAGATGCTTACACATACATACCCACACGTGTCTGCATGCTTATACACACATGTGCGTACTGCTGTGTTCATATATAGCATGTGTACATACACGAGCATACACACGCTTGCTTTTGCACACACATTGTGCTTTTGCACACACAGCAGATTGCCTGGCTTTCCACTTCAGCCCTGCCATTTATGGGTTGCTTAGCCCTCCCTGTGCCTCAGTTTCCTTACCTCTGTAGAAGGAGAACTTCATAGGGTGGTGGTGAGAGTTTGGTGAGCTTAGAGCAGGGCTGGGCATGCACCAGGCGCTCACCAGGAGCTGTCCCCACCGACCCCGTCACAGGTGAACATGATCGTGCTGGACAAGGACCTGGGCATCCCCAAGCCGTTCGGGCCCCAGGTGGGGGAGGAGTGCTGTCTGGAGCTGCACGTGCGTGGCCTGCTGGAGCCCCTGGGCCTCCAGTGCACCTTCATCGACGACATCTCCGCCTACCACAAGTTCCTGGGGGAGGTGCACTGCGGCACCAACGTGCGCCGGAAGCCCTTCGCCTTCAAGTGGTGGCACATGGTGCCCTGACCACTCCTTCCCCGAGTTCTCCAGACCCCTCGTGCACCCAGACTCCTGCCTCACACGGACTGGACGGCCCCGCTGGGAGACCTTCGGGAAGCGCCTTGCCCCTCCCTGGGAAGGGCCTCAGGTCCACTGAAGCCGCCCCCCAGTGACCTTGTTCTTCCTGAAAACAGCCGGGCCAGTGTCTCTATAGCCTTGGCACGAGAAACAAAACAAAGCACAACAAGCCACGTCCCCAAGCCCTTCCCCAAAGAATCCTTCGGTCTCGAGCCCAACACTGAATGAGGGGAGGAGGGAAGGGGGTTCTGGGATCGCTGGCTCTTCCAGCCGCCGTGCCCTGAAGTTCAAGGTAGAACGTGTGGAAAGGGACCCCAGGCGCCCAGACATAACTTGAACTGCCAGCATCATTTCAAATCCTCCTCCCTCGGGGTTTCCGATGGCCACTCCCAAGAAGTCATTCCTCACCCGCCTCTCTCACACCCTCCCGGCTCCCTCTCTGCAGTGTGGACACCATCACTAGCCCTCCTCCCCACTCCTGAGGGTCCAACGACACGGCTTCGAGCCTTCCCTGGAAACAGCTCATCAGAGCAGTCTCTCCATCTGCCAGCTGCTCCTCTTACCCATCTGTCCCGTGGGCACAGGCTCCCCCAGATGCATGGGGGCTTCACCCCAGACCAGCCTCCTGGGGCCTGAGAGTTCCGTGTGTAAAGACACCAGGTCAGCCATGTTGATCATCTCTTGCCTGGCCTCGATGCTCTGGCCAGTCCCTGCCCTCCCTCTCCCCCCAGCCTCAACAGCCTACTCCTGATGCCATCTCTCCAGGCAGCTAGACAAGAACTTCTTCACCACCAGCCAGACTCAGACCTTCCCCGGGGCATAATAAACAACGCGCCCCCCACCCCCAGACATCAGATCCCACTCATAAGGACCCTGACCTACCCCAGCCCACCAGTTCTGAGCCAGCTGCTGGCCTTAGAGAGGCTCCAATTATCCTTTTGAAATTCACCAGTGCATTTGCCAAAGACCCTCTCAGGTGGACATACCCAGATTCATTCCCTGAACTCCTTCAACTGAAAAGACTCAATCACAATTTTTAAAAGTTCTTTTAGGCCAGGTGCAGTGACGCACACCTGTAATCTCAGCACTTTGAGAGGCTGAAGCAGGAGGATCGCTTGAGTCCAGGAGTTCGAGACCAGCCTGGGCAACATAGCAAGACCCCATCACAAAAAAAGAAAAAAATAATAAAATTTTTGGTAAAAGTTTCTTTAGGGCCAGGAGAATAAGTGAGTTATAACCACTTTGAAGGTTTAAAGGAACTCATTTATAGTGAATGAAAAGGCTATCATATCATTTACATTCTTGGAGGAATGAGATTTTCACTTTGGATTATTTCATTCAACCAACATTTGTGGTGTGCCTACTAAGTGCCAGGCACAGCGTTGGGCTCTGTGAACACATTGGCTAGTAGCAGTCTGGACCTGATCCCTGCCTACAGGGACTGGTCAGTTCCCAACAGGCAGAGCCCACATCCAAATGGCCAGTATGTCTCCCTCCAGGGATGTGGTCTTTGGAGATGCCAGCCCGCCACATTCTGGAAATGCACAGGGCACCATGCTTCCTGCAAGTCACTGTCTTGGTGAAATGGGACAAGGGGGAGTCTCCTTTGAACAGGTCCCCCTCCCACCCAGCTGGGCAGTACTGCCTGTCAGATGAGTCCCCAGAGCCTTCAGAAGCTGTTGTCCTCCTTCTGGGGACAGCAGCTCCTGTGGAGGCCAAAACTCCAAATCTTCTCTCCAGTCCCAGGGCCAAGAACACCAAGTGCCTACTTGAGGGTGTTTATCTGGAGACATAGAGTTTGTCATGCGTGTGTGTTTGGTTACTGTGGGTTTGAGGGCTTTCTTTCATTTTTTTTTCTAGTCTACATTAAGGAGAAGTGAGTACCTCCCGTGTGGAGACAGTGTGTCTTTGTAGATTTTTCTAAGGTTCTCCCCATTGATAAGTCAGTCATTTCTGATGCTTCTGGAGTCCCCAGGACTCAGACACCCATTCCCATCTCACTTGCCCACCCAGTGTGACAACCCTCCTTGTGGATGTCCCTCCCCATGGACTCTTCCCCACCCCTGCGTTCTATAAATGGAGGCCTAGAACATGCTTCTGTGTTGCAACCCTCAGCCAAGTTCCTGTTTCCATCTCTATTTTGAAATATTTTATGTAAGAGGGCAGGTGGTGTCGTGGAGACGGCAAGAGGAAGAAGAAGAAGAAGCAGAGACAGTTTCCACTTTCTGGAAAAGAGGCCATGATGGACATTGAAAGATGTTTGGGGAAGAGCCCTAAAGAACAATAAAATAAACGGTCCAAGGGGAATTGTGTGGCTGTTGGCGTGGTGTTTTTTGCTGCTTCGTGGACGTGGTCTGGAGTGAGGCAGGCCCCACCCTGGGCCCTCTCCTGGTCCTGCAGCCCCTGCTTTTCTGGGAATAGGGTCTGGGCTCTCAGCAAGGGTATCTCGAGGGTTTGGGACCCCCCACACACACTCAGTATTTGCGTATGACATAGCCCAAGGTCATGACCAATACCCACGATAAAGTCTGATGATGTTTTTTCCAGTGGAGTTGCCCAGAAGCAGACCCTGAGATAAACATTTAGGGACAAATGATTTATTAAACTGCCTCCAGGAAAAACCACGACATGGGGGGAGCAGGACAGGGAAGGGGAAGAAGTCAAACAAGGGTGTGATTTCAGGTACAGCCTCAGGCTTATCTCTGAAGAGCTCTGGAGCATAAATGGCACCTCGGAGTGGTTCCATCTGGAGACTGAGTCTTGGTGCACCTGCACCAGTCAGTCCGTGGCTCTGGGGACTTTGGCCCTCTGATTGGCCAAGGGGGCACTGGAGGGCTACTTCAGGCAACCATCTAAAGAATATCACAGCTGTGATGAGGAACAAACTCACAGGAGCTGATAAATGGGCTCCCACAACCAGAAAAGGGTCTGGGCAGGGCATCAACAGTGTTCACTTCTCTAGGTGATAGGTTCTTTTAATAGGGAATCATTCCATGTAGGTGTTTGTGATTTGAACCATGGTATAAAAATCCATACAACATAGCCATGAAGTAACAGGGTCTTTGTGAACAAATTCCTGAGAGCCTAAAATGGAGACATCTGGCTGGTTGCTGAGTCTAGAAGCTCTTCCAAGCTCTTTGGGATTCACCCAGGGCCCCTCTCACTCTTCAGTCCCATCTTGGGCTCCTGGACTGATGCCTTGGTATCACTATTTTAAGGGGCCACTGCAAAATGAAAATCACTGGTTCTCTTATTCCCAGACTTAACTCATGAGGTCAGCCCTCTGAGATTATGCTTCCCTTTTATACCCAGCTAATATAGGCCAAGCCACAGCATGATCAATCAATCGTTAGTAGGTTTCCTGACCCACTTATTTCTGTGACTCCCCAAGGGACACTGATGTGCTAAAAAAATTTATCCAAGATGTGGTGTTCTCACATCTTGGCCACTCACCCACCTCAGGGTTGCTGAGGTCACCCTGAGACATCTAGAACAACATTTTCCTGTAGAAACATCATGCAAATCACATATGTAGTTTCAAATTCAAATGTGTAACCACATTTACAAAGTAAAAAACATCTGAAATTAATTTTAATAATATATTTTATTTAGTCTAATATATCCATATTAGCATTTCAACATATAATCAATAACTTTACATTTCTGACATTCTTATTTTTTGGCAGTAAGTCTTTGAAAACTAACACGTGTTTTATAATTATAGTACATCTCTATTCAGACTAGCCACATTTTAAGTGCTCAAAAGTCACAAGTGGCTACCATATTGGGACGCGTTTTTCTATAATCTTCTCTGCCAGGTTGAGCACCGATTGTGGAAATAGACACGTTCCTTAAATCTCCAGAGTCCAGCTAGTCTGACCACAACAGTTACTGAAACATTATTATTATAATACTGAAAAGAGAAATGTAAAATATATATGAGCCCTTGCTGGCCCTGGTGTGCAGATCCTTGTCCCTCCAGGAAGTCCTTTTGCCTGTATCATGGTCACCACCATGTTACCAAGGCCCGCCTCTCTCTGCAAGGGTAGTGTCTTCAGCCATGTCCCCTCTGCCCACTGTCAAGATGGGAATTTGGCTGGGCACAGTGGTGCACTCCTGTAATCCCGCATTTCAGGAAGCTAAAGCAAGCAGGTTGCTTGAGCCCAGGAATTCAAGACCAGCCTGGGCAACATAACAAGATCTTGTCTCTACAAAAAAAAATCAAAAAATTAGCTGGGCATAGTGGTGTGTGCCTGTAGTCTCAGCTATTCGGGAGGCTGAGGTGGAAGGATGTCCTGAGCCTAGAAGGTCAAGGCTGCCGTGAGCCATGAGCATCGTAATCATGCCACTGCATTCCAACCTGGGCAACTGAGTGAGACTCCAACTCTGTCCAAAAAAACAAAAGGGGGGACTCCCACCAGCCCCATAGAAGGGGAATACACAACTCCTGCACCTCTGCCCACTTTCTCTCACTGTTCCCATAGATGTAACTTGATCTGCATTTTAACATACAGTATTTACCTGGAGTCCCAAGGGAGGGGAGGAGAGGTGCTTATTATCTCAACTTCTTCATTCCAGATGAGACCTGAGTCAAAAGCCTGTGGCAGGGGGCGGAGTCTCTCCCCAGAAACAGAAAGCAGCCTGGGATGAATCTGCCTCTGCAGTGGAGTTTATGCGGGATTCTCACCCAAGTGGCATCAGGTCTAGGAGGCTGAGGGCAAAGTGATTGGTGCCTAAATATAGGAAGTGACAGCAAATGGCAGCATGAGGGATCTCAGTCGGATGACCAGACAAAGGACATCCCCAGGCAGGACGCCCAGCTCTGCAGCCTTGACTCCACCCTGGCTGATGGGAGAAAGACTGCCTTTTCACCTGTCCCTGTGGCCAGCCCTTTTTCCGCCCTGACCTTTGAGAAAGCAAAGGTCTTCTCTAAGCAGTCTCTACGCTAACCGTCAGGGCCAGGCCAAGCCAACTGTTGCCTCAACCCCTTCCCCTCCCCCAGCCAAGGTCCACTTTCCCAATCCTGACTGGACCCAAGGCAACCCTAACAATCTCTGGCTAGCTTGCCAAGGCCCCATTCACGGGCTACCATGTTACCAAAGTGTTGAAATACATAGAAATGCTTTGCTTTCCTCTAAAAGAAATGCTTTGCTTTCCTCCCGATGGCAATTCCTGCACGTGGTCAGCGCTCAGCAAATGTATTTCGAATGAAAGAATGAAACATCTGTTCAGCTAGGCAACGGAAGCAGAAAAATCAGCCCAACAATTTCTTTTTCCTTTTTTTTTTTAATTTTTGGCTCTTTAATCTTTTGTTTCATTGTATTTTTCATTTTAAAATTAGTTTTAAAATATTTTAGTAGTTATTCTTAATATTGCTTACATATGTTTTCATGCTGGTGAACTTCAAGTCATTTTTACAGTTGGTATGATTCTATTAATGAATTTTAGCTCTTTCTCAAATTATGGAAACTGTGTCTGCTATATCCAGGAGTGGCAGGGGCCTATGGTAATTCAAACCGTCTTTATATAAAAGAATAAAAACTTTGACTGCTTTGACTCATTTGCACTTCTACCCACAATTATTTTTTGGTATAATATGAATGTTATTTTAAATATTATCAATAAAATGAAACTGTTTTTTGAGAGATTTAGTTACTTTTATCATTTCTGATGTTTCACATGAAGGCTGTTTCTTGAAGATGTTTTCGTTAAAAGTGAAATATGGCTGGGCTGGGTGGCTCAGCCTGTAATCCCAGCACTTGGGGAGGCCAAGGGGAGTGGATTGCCTGAGTCTGCGGGTTCAAAACCAGC